TCTTTCAGGAGAGATCCACTGGGGTACAGAGGCCAAACCACACTCCTGGCCCTACATGGCGCTTGTACATTTCTATGATGACCAAAAAGGTCATTGGTACAAATGTGGGTGTTCCCTGATACAAGACAACTTCGTGTTGACAGCAGCTCACTGCAATGGAAGGTGAGCTCTGCCCAACAAACGGGGCCTTGGCATCCTGGGACCTCCTACACACCCAGGCCTTTCAAGCAGGTTCGTGAAAACGCAGAGCACACAGAGGAGCCCTGTGACCTGCGTGGCCAGGCAGAGCAAGTGTGGGGTTCCTGGAGCATCAGAGGGAGGGGGGGCTGCCGAAGCACCATCACAGTCTGGGTCACCCCTGCACAGCACGGAAGGGGGACACCCATCCACCCCTCTTTCCAATATACTCAGCTGGGGGTCTAGATGCTACGCTTCAACCTGCCCTGTAAAGACTGCGCTGAAGCCCCCCACTTCACATCCCCCTGGTTTTACAGAAATATGGCTGTCACGGTGGGAGCTCACAACATCAGAAAGGGGGAAAACACCCAGCAGGTCATCCCTGTGCTCAGAGCCTTCCTCCACCAGGACTATGATGCTAAGAAACGTGTCAGTGACATCATGCTGTTGAAGGTACCGTCTTGCTGACTTGCAGGGGCAACTGCACAAGTCACAGGGGCGAGCACCTCACCATGGGTATGAGTTCCCACCTCCCTCCAACTGGATGCTCGTCCCGGGTCAGTGGATTAGAGGGGGCTTTGGAGACTCTGTGAGGTGCGGGTGGAAGGTGGGTACAGAAGCCTCCCCACAGACTGAGCCCAGCTGGAGGCCAGAACCTGAACTGCTTCCTCTCACCTCTGACCAGCTGGAAAACAAAACACAACTGAACCAGAACGTGCAGACCATTTCCCTGCCACATATCAGGACGTGGTGGAGCTGGAACAGGTGTGCAGCACAGCAGGCTGGGGAGAAATGACTGATGGGGACTCTCCAGACACACTTCAGGAGGTGGATCTATAAATGCAGACTGAGCGAAAGTGCAAGGATCTTTTACAAAATTACCCAACAACACCATCGAGCTGTCTGTGGGAAACCCTAAGACCAAGACTGCCACTGGAAGTCTAAGGGGGCTATCTCCTTCCCAGTCTTGCCCCAGAGTTTCTGTGACATTGGGGTGCATGACCAGGCTTCTCCCATATCACAGTGTACAGTGGCCAGGCTCCACTCATGGTTGGAGGCACATTCTTCCCAGCACAGGGGCAGGTTCTCCCTCCATCAACCTCTGGGCCCTTGTCCTGAGCCAACAAGAAGGAGCCTGGGCGGGCTGAGCTGAAGGGGACACAGCCAGCATCAGCAATGGTGGGGGGGTCACAGGGGCCTGGACTCTACTCATCCCCTTACAATGAAGGCCTGGTGATTGGTGACCATTCAGTCCCTTCCCTGGGACACCTGAGCCCTGAGAGGGAGGCTGAAAGGACTGGGGGGGATGATGAAGCTGAGAGGAGGGAACCAGAGGGCAGTGGATAAGACTTGTCCCTTTTCTGTCACAGGGGGACTCTGGGGCCCCATTCATGTGTATCAGGGTGGCGCAGGGCATTTCAGCTATGCATACAAGGGTCATAAGGTCCTTCCCTGGGTCCTTCACCAGGATCTCCAGCTTCCTGCCCTGGACCACAGAACAATGAATCTCTCCTGGGGTAACTAGACCACTGCCACTTGTTCGTGGTCTCCATCTAAACATCTGGGCGTGGCTGTCTGATTCTTAATAAACACCATTGTCCAGTGAGAGCATTTTTTTCTCTCTGTCCCTTAAATGAAGCCACCATGTACCAGGCCCAACTCCTTGTCTTCTCCTGTCCTCCCATCACCTCTTGCATCTGCCCACACATGCCGCCAGCTCACATCTATGCCCTCCTGCAGCGTGGTTGCTAAGGTGCCCATGGTCACTCGCCCCCAGCCCTGGTATCTCTACCCAGAAAGGAAAAACCCTCAAACACCCTACTACTCCGTGCCTCCGTGTGCTCTCCCCCTCCTGAGACCGCTGCTGCCTCTCATGGGGTCTGTCCTGTCACTGCCTAATAAGGCCCAGTGCTGCCTTCATTCTGGAGCTTTGTGAGACTCTTTTCTCCAGAGACACCAAGGACCCTCCAGTGTTACGGTCCCCACACTAGGGCGTACTGAGTTCCAGGGCAAGTTAGGGTTAAGTAGGCAGCTCCAGGGGCAATGCAAGCAGGAACTTGAGAGAGTTAAACAGGCTTCTAAGATAAGAACAATAAATTCTAAAATGTGCTTACCAGAATATACTCCAGAGGTGAGGTCAGAAAATCCAGGAGGACCACACAAAGACAGTAAAACTTGAGAAAACAAGACCTTGGACAGGGGAGGTAAACTCTAAGATAAAAGCTGAGATAATGGGCATATCTGCCTGGAGGAATATGGCCACTAAAAAAGAGCCCCTCACACAATAAAATGATGACATTTTAAAATAGTGAGAAAAAAAGGTTTAAATACCCATACACTCCAGCCATCAATGGCTTCCTTGCCCCTCCCAAGTACAGCATACTTGCGAGTCCTACTTTCTTTCTTTAAATAAATTTGTCTTTACTTTCTTAAACAAATTTTGTCTCTCTCTCTGCTTACTTATCTAAAATGCCTGCAAATTCCTTTTTACGGCTTCATGAGACACCAACCCGTGGTGGTCTAGAGACTGGGACTCTGTGCTGCCTGGGATTCCTTCCTGGCTGGGAGACTAGGCCTGAGAAATGACAGCATCACTAACACAATGTAGCTTCTCAGGAAACAGCTTTTGGTTGCACGGAGGCCTCCAATAAGCACTTGGCTTACGCTTGGTGGACACTGCTGGTAGGATTTGAGACCACAGGGGTGAGGACACAGCCAGAGTCACTGGAGCACTGAGGACCTGGGAAGGCAGGCGGGCGTGGGAAGGACATGGGCCACACAGACCGGGGCAGCCCAGGCCACAGGGGTGCTTTCAGGCAGTCATGTAGCCGCTTCTCAGATCCATCCCAGCCTGGCCCCGTCTCTGGCAGGAGGGAGGGGGTGGAGGACCTGAGAAATTTAACAGGTCCTTAGGCGAGTCTGACCACTCCTCCCATGACAGCCTGAGTCTCTGAGCTGCCCTGCCCTCGGTCTGATGCTCTGGACTCCAATGCTTTGTCGCTGTAGCTGCCCCCCCCCCCTTTGCTGAATGCCTCTCTATGGACAGCCGGTGTCCCAGGCAATGGAGAGGGACTCACACCCACTAAGTCTTTGAGGGAACAGCCCTCCTTCCTTCTGGCCTGTTGAGGGTCTAGACAGCTTAGGACTTGTTAGTCTGAGTCTGAGGCAAGTTCAGAAACTTTCTGGGCCTGATAGAGCACAGTCCCTGAATGTGCTGGGCACAAGGGTCAGGAGGACCGAGAGCCCTATGAGGGGGCTAAAGCCTCAGCAGTGGGGGTGGTCACTCACCTGTGCTAGCCCCGGGGGGCAGAAGAAAGGCCAGCAAGGGCAGGAGTGGCTTCATCTCCTTGAGGGTGTGCCCAGGTTGGAGCTGCTAGTGTTTCTTCCTGGCAGATACCAAGACCAAGAGGAAAGTGGGGAGGGGTGGCTCAGAGGCCTCACAGCCTCCTGTACCCACACAGCCCAGTAATGCCGGGTGTCATCACACGAGGCGCTTAGGCTAGGTGTGAACAGAGTTAAATGTGTCACAATGTGTGCAGGGCCCGATGAGTCAGAGGTGAAAGCTCAGGAAAGGACAAGAAAGTGAATGTCGGGGTGGCAGCCAGCACAGGCTGGGTACCCAGCAGCCCCCGCTCCTGGCTCTCTTCCATTCTCACGAAACCATGAGTGATCGCTCAGCAGGCAAGTTCCAGGCCTCTGGGAGAGCCGGCTCCTGCCCCCGAGCAGCTGACCCCGCTGCAGTAGCCAAAGAGCCTGTGCTTAGAGGGCCAGGGGGTCAGGACATGGGGTGTCCTGGCTGGGGTGAGAGGTAGATTGGGTTTACCTTATGAGCAGTGGAGCTGGACACACCTGAATGCCCCATGTAGCCCTGTTTCCTGTCTTACCACCATTCCAGACTCATACTTTGAGAAGGTTCATATTTCCCTTTTCCAAATCTAAGTTTTCTGTGACAAAGAGCTTCTCTTAGCCCACAGATTTGAACAGAAGTCCTGGACTTGACAGTCACTGGACAGAAGCCAATCACCCCTGGGTCCCTTGAAGTGATCTGCTTGGTTTGTGTTTAGGTCACTTAGCACCCTTCGGGCTGTGGGGCCTGTCCCCCCAAGTCACAGGAAGGGCTCCCCTGCAGAAAAGCTGCCAGTGCTGCCGGTGAGAGGGGTGAACACTGTCACTCTCCCTCATGGGCACTAGACCCCTCCATCCTGACACCGTATGTCTGAGGCTCCTGCACCTGTGACCAGCAGCATCAGCAAACAGCAGCCCCCATGCTCCCCAGCAGGACAGCAGGTGATGGAGACCAGGCTGAGCCTGACAGCCAGGCCCACTTCTGTTAGAGGAGCAGCATCTTTTGAAGACACAGGACAAGAGCGGGAGGAGACACGGGGAGCAGGAATGAGGATCATCTCCAGGTAGTTGCAGAAATTTCAAGTTTTTATTTACACATTCTGTACTGAACGATCACGCCTTTGAGGAATCTGTATTACTTTCAGGCCCAGAATTTACTTCCCCGCAGTGTAAGCACTCTCGTCAGTGCAAACAATTCAGCATTCTTCTACTTTCCAATCTTCTCTAAGGCGGAGGCTTTCAAATGAGGTACTTTCTAACTACGTTCTTAAGGAAAGGATTTAGAGGTTCTTGAAAAATAGAAGAAAAAATTTACTCATGAAGCTATAAGCTGTAGGGCAATTTGAGAAACAGGAGGAGTCAATGATTCCCTCTAGAAATGAAAGTTTGTGAAGCCCCTGGCAGCCCCCCCACCCCCACCGGCCAGTGCTGCTCCAGCCTCTGCCCCAGAGAGGACAGATGACTCAGTCCCTGGCGCCTCAGCCTGGTCCCTGCAGTGTGACTTGTCTCATTGTTTCTTCTACCCAGGGCACAAAGCTTGAGATCCTGGTGAAGACACATGGAGGCTTCCCATTCCTGTGCCCGAAGGAGACGATTCCCTGAGCCACCTTGTTACACACCAAGGGGCCCCCGGAGTCACCCTGTGGGCAGATGGAGGAAGAACTGAGCAGGGCCTTCTCTTGGTCCTGACCTTCCCACTGGCCCATGGGTGGGGGTCTCTGATAGGGGCTGTGGGTGAGATCAGGCCCAGGGCTCCTCAAAGCCTGGCTGTACCCAGGGTTGGGCATGGTCAGTGCTGGTGAGCTCACCTTAAATGAAGACTTTGTTGTTTCCGGCTCTCCCGCACATATCTGGATGCTGTTGTTGTAATGACTGTCTTTGAAGAAATGGAGGCAAACACTGTTCTTTTGAACTGCAAGGTCTACCTCCTGCAGTTTATGTGCACTCTGGGCAGTGACGCCTAAGCGCCCCCATCCGGCCACAGTGCACACCTTCCCCGGCTTCACTGATATGTTCTTTCTGGGCAGCCTGATGGTTTTCACATTGGTGTTCAATGTGGCCTTCCATTGAAGCTGACAGAAATAAAAGGAAAGGAAACCTTATCTACTGCTGACCCACAAGACAGTCATGGGGTTGCCTTCTCACAAGGGTCACTGAAGGGTCATAACTGGGAAGAGGATGGGAATGAGGTCACAGGGGATACAAACAGCCCAGGATTAAATGTCAGGACCAAGGGAGAGATTTGCAACCTGCAGCAACATGATGTCGTTGGCTTTGGTCCTAAGATTATAATCTGGGTGGGGGATGGCTCTCTTCACAGGGATGTTCTGCTGGGTCCTCTCCTGCCTGGTGATGTCGTGGGCTCCCAGGGTGACGTTGATTGAGCTGCGCACAGAGCAGAGGGAGAAGTCACAGGAGATACAGTGCTAGAGCCTGGCAGGGCAGGGACAGGCGGGGCAGAGAGGGCTGCAGCTGAGGGGAAATGGAGGCAACAGAGGAATCAGGGTTCATCTGTCTGTGCCCTCTGCTTCTCAGTAACTGAAGGAGTATTCTAGAGCTATTGGTAACTGCGCCGTGGATCCCAGAGGTCAATTACCTCAGGAAGGTGTGCAAAATTGCATTAGTCTGCATCTGATGCCCAATTGGGCCTAGCATTAAAGCCAGCAGGGCTGAGCACTCTCTCTTCCCTACAGGTCTCCAGCTGGCACTACCCTGGCTCCTCCCCACCAGCTGCCTACACATTTCTCACCTCTGGGGACTCTTCTGGCTCATGTACTCCTAGAAGCTGGGGAGCTCCTGGGGAGAAGTGGGGCTCTCAGGAGGGTGTGGGCTGTGGCTGCTCCTCACCTCCCTTTACAGTGAGCGGCTGTCAGCACAAAGTCCTCTCGAATCAGGAAACCACCACAAACACGCCTCTTGTTGTGAAATGGCTGGAATTTGTCACCAAACCAGCTCTCAGATTTCTGACCTGATATCCATAGAAATGCCATGTAGGGTCGGGAGTGGGGAATGGCCTCATGTCCCCCGATGATCTCTCCTGAAGGAAATGTCTGGTCTGCTTGTGCATCCACTCACTGCACCCGCCCTGTTGCTCACACTACAGGGAATTTGGGAGCCAGGGTGGCCTGGGGCCGGTGGGGGTGCTCAAGACTCCTCCATTTTCCCCTCCCAGAGAAGGGAAGCCCCTCTGCTTAGCCTGTGCTCTGCCTTCACCCAAAGCTGGAGGTGAGCAGAGCTGTGTCAGGACAGTAAAGTGCTCCAGGCTCTGGAAAATTCCTCTCCTGGTTTTCTTTAATGTCACATAGTTTCAAAGCCCCTGTGAGTCTGTGCCATCTCTGACAGTGCTGCTTTCTAGAGCCCAAGCTGAGGTGCAGAGCCTAGATGTTCTCCAGCCTGATTCCTGGGCCTGATACCCAGCAGGGCCCATGCTCATTGGCTGCAGGAATCCCATGTGGCTGAAGAAGGTTTGGAGGGGCTACTGCTGGGGATTCTGGAAAGCAGAGAAGCCGCGGTCTGCCAAAGAGTGGCCCATCCTTGAAAAGAGGGGAGCTGCTAAGGACCTGGGAAGAAAAGCAGAGTTGGAAAAAGGGAATGAGGGGCCCTGGGCTGAGCAAAGGCAAAGCAGTCTTCTGGGGACAGTGTGGTCACCAGGTCTGGTGTCTTCTCTCCTAAGCAGGTGTTGAGGGACCCCCTGTCTGGTCCCAGACCCGGAGCCAGGCCCTTGCTGCCCTTGGCAGGGGGATTTACTGTTCATCTTTGCCAGTTTCCCCCCCTCTGCATGCATTTCCAGGGAGGCTCTACTCTCCAGATGGCAGGGGCTGGGGGCGCTGGAAGGGGAGACAGCACCACCGGCTCTTCTTGAGAACAGCCCTGGCCCAGCCGGTCCTGCTGGCAGCTTATCCAGCTCCATCTTGGGGTCTGATGTGGGACAGGAGCCGGGGGTCAGAACGTCCTGGCAGGTGGGTCCCACGTATGCAGAAGGGGCAGGGGACCTGTGGCCTCTGAGATGGGGAAGGTCACTCACCTGCCTCTGCCCTGGGGAGCAGCAAACAGGCCAGCAGCAGCGGGAGCAGGAGTGGCTGCATCTTCCCAGGAGGCTGCTCGGTGGAGCCACTGGGGCGTCCTTTCCCCGGAGAGGATGGAGGAGCAGGTGGGCCCAGGGAGCTAGGGCTCCTTTCTGGTTCTGTGGTACGTCATCCTACAAGGTTTTCTATGAAGGCTGCCCCGCCCCCAACACATGCTGTCTGGTGACACTCCCTGGGGGGTGGGGGGTGTGAGGACCCACAGTGGCCACATCAGTACCCACAGCTGATGACTCAAAAAAGATCACTTGTTCCAACCCTGACAGGAACCTGAGGCTAAGTTGGGAACTAGAAGGTGGTGTTGACCAGTAGAGGTGCCAGAGCCCCAGAAATCAAGTCCCTAGTGACAGAAACACCGCCCCTTCATCTCCATCCTGCCAAGTCCTTCAGGATAGTTTCTTCAGCCCAGGTGCAGGCCCTGCTGTACTGCCACCAAATGCAGACACAGCAGTGCAGGCCATGCGTGCACAAGTCAGTGACAGCCACAGCCACTTAATCCAGACAGCAGCCCTGCCTCATCCAAGCTTCATTCCTTGGGGTATTTTACACCCTTTTAAAATTGCAAATGCTCGGTTCCTCCCTGGTGGCACAATCTATGAAGCAATCCGCAGCCTCTGCAGCACAAGTTCGATCCCTGGCCAGCCAGGGAGTAACCCACATGGCACAACGGACCTCTCCTGTCTCGCCCACTGCTCCCCTCAGCAGTGTATGTTCAGTGAGAACAGTCCGTTCTGTTCCTCACTCTGTTTCTGGTGAATTCTCTCACCCTCCACACCTTTGGCCTGTACCCCAGCACTTGTATGCATAAATAAATAAATCTTTAAAAATAAATAAATAAATAAAATTGCAAATGCTCAGATTGAGACCATCTCTCTCGACTTTTGTTTTTACCAGAACTGACCCTTGATATTGATTGACCTAAATAGCAAGTCTATGGCCCTAGAAGTTGAGTCCATGGGCTGACAAGCCTGGTCTTTCCTGCTTTGGGGGCACGAGGGTGGGTCCCACTCAAGCACATGGCCTAAGACTGGCAGGAGATGGCATCTCCCAAGGAAGTTAGATTGCTAAGCTGCCAATGCCATGTGAAGTGGGCAGCATGCTGGGCACCAGAGACCAGAACTTGACCTATTGGTGATCTCTGACCTCTGGATAAACCTCAGAATCATTGAGCTAATGAAAGAAGCCGAACACAACATACCACAGAGTGCAAGGTTCCTCTGTGCTCCTCCCACCAGAATAGGACAAGCAGGGCTACAGATACACATGAGAGAAATGTTGGATCATCCCTCAGGACATTAAAGATGATTATTAACAAGTAATGAGAAATCAAATCACTTTATAATTTTGTTTTCTTTTTAAAATTTTTGAAAAACTGTAGAAATTAATTGCAAGTAAAAATTCTAAAAGCTAGGAAAGAGATGTTATAGTCCCATGACATACATTTTTGAACATGGAAGAAAGGCTTCAGTTGTTGAGTTTAGTGACATCAAAGAAAATGGCGGTGTAGATTTCATATGAGCCCAGGATTTAAAACTCAGGGCTTATGTAACACTCTGTCTGTGGGAGATTGAAATGAATGACACTTTTCCTTCCTAGTTTCCTGTTTCCTCATGAACATATATTAACACAATAATCAGAAGGTAATTTATTTTTAAATAAGTTCCACTACAGAGCGAGTTCAAATTTGTTCACCTCCTTGGTTATATTTGTTAGTGGGCATTTTATTTGGGAGAATGCTATTACAAATGGAATTGTACTAATTTTCTTTTTTGGATTATTTATTTCTGATGTGTAGACTGACAACTGAACTTGTATCCTGCCATGAATTTAATTAATTTATTTTGCTATTGGGGTGGGATTTTCTATTTATAGTCATGTCATCTGCCAATAGGTAGTTTTACTTCATATTCTCCAATTTTTATGCCTTTTATTTCATTGTCTTGTAGAATTGCTCTGTCCAGGACTTTCAATTCAATGTTAAATTGTAGTGGTGAAGTAGACATACTTATCTGGTTCCTAATATCAGTCTTTTACCATTGCGTAGGATGAAAGATTTGGGGTTTAAGTAAACACAATTTATGATGTTACGAAGTTCTCTTTTATTCTTAGTTTGCTGAAACTTTTTCCCCCTTAAAACTGTGAATGATTTTCATTTTGTTAAATGAATTTTCTGCATCTATGAGATTTTTCCTTCATTCTATTACTGGGGTGGGTTACACTGATTGAATGTCTCATGTTGAACCACCTTAAATTTTCAGGGGTTAATCCCAATTGCTCATGGACTATAATCCTTTTATTGTGTTGTTGTACTCAATTTGATACTGTCATGTTGAGGAACTTTGCATCTATTTTCATAAAGGACATTGGCATTCCACTTTTCTTTCAGTATTTTTATCTGGCTGGTACCTGGGAATGCTGGCCTTTCAGAATATGTGAGGAAGTATTCTTTCCTGTTCAATTTGTACTGAAGAGTGTCAATGAGATTGGTGATAATTCTTGGAAAGTTTAGTTAGATTTACCAATGATGCCATTTGGCCTGGGATTTTCTGTGTTGGGAGGTTTCTGATTACTTGTTCAATCTCCTTGTTGTAGTTCTAGTCATATTTTTATTTCATCTTCAGTCAGATTTGGAATTTTCTGTTTTTCTAGGAATTTGCCCATTTTACTCTTATTATCTACTTTGGTGTACAAATGTAGATTGCATTCCCACAAATTCTTTCAATTCCTCTAGGTTGGTAGTAATGTCCTCATTTTATTTTCTGGTTTTAATACTGTAAATCTTTTTTTATCATTTCATCTACTTAAAATTATCACTTTTGTTGATCTCTCTCTAAACTTTACTATTTTTTACCTTTGCTGCCTTGAGTTATTTGATCTTCTTTTATATTGTACCTTTAGAAAATTCTAAAATCCTTTAGGCTCTTCCTTCGAGTTCTTTTAGGTGTGGTGTTGTGCTATTGATTTGATATCTTTCTCCTTTTTTAATGTAGGCGTTTATACTTCTATAGTTCACTATGAGCACTATGGCATCCACCAAATTTTGGTTATGTTGTGTTTTTATTTTCATTTGTCTCAGTATTTTCTAATTTTTCTATCATTTCTCTTTGACCTTTGGTTATTTAAGAGTGTGTTGCTTGATTTCCACGTCTGTGAGTTTTCCTTGAATTACTCATCTCTAGTTCCATTTCGTTACAGTTGGAGATTTTTTGTATTTTTCCAAGTTGAGTTATTATAAATTTAACTAATTTAAAGTATTTAAAACTTACTGAGAAATTTTTTATGACCTAACCTATGACTTATCCTGGAGAATACTTCCTGAGAGAACATGCACTTGAGAGAATATGTATTCTGCTGGGGGTGGAGTGTTCCATATATGTGTTGGTCTAATTGGTTTATAGTGTTGTTCAAATTCCTGGTTTTCTTATTAATTTTATGCCTAAAGTTTCTACACACTATTTATTTTTTTAATAAATTTTATTTTTATATTCCCCATACAATTGCAATCCCCTTATTTTGACCCCAATCCCTCCCCTCCCCGCACCCAACCACCCATAGAGTGTCTCTGGTTCACAGTTGTTTGTTGATTTTGATTTTCACTTTCTTATATTATTCATTTCTTATAGTTATTCATTTTCCCTTATTTAAGTTTTCTCGATTCCCGCTATGAGTGAGACCATCCAGTATTTTTCTTTTTCTTTCTGGCTTATTTCGCTGAGCATGATCCCTTCCAGCGCCATCCATGTTGCTGCAAATTGCATGTGTTTATCTTTTTTGAATGCTGAGTAATGTTCCATGGTGTATATGTACCACATCTTCTTGATCCAGTCATCTATTTTGGGGCATTTGGGTTGTTTCCAAAGCTTAGCTATTGTAAACAGTGCTGCTATAAACATAGGGGTGCAGGTGTTCTTTGGAATTGATGTTTCTGTGTCCTTTGGGTAAATACCTAGGAGTGGAATTGCTGGATCATATGGAAGCTCTATGTTTAGTAGGTCCAGAAATCTCCACACAGCTCTCCATAGTGGTTGGACCAGTTTGCACTCCCACCAACAGTGCAGGAGAGTTCCTTTTTCTCCACATCCTTGCCAACATTTGTTGTTGCTAGTTTTTTTAATATGTGCCATTCTCACTGGTGTAAGATGGTATCTCATGGTAGTTTTGATTTGCATTTCCCTGATGACTAGTGATGTTGAACATTTTTTCATATGCCTGTTGGCCATTTGCATTTCCTCTTCAGAGAAGTTTCTTTTTAGCTCTTCTGCCCATTTTTTGACTGGATTATTTTCTTTGTTTGTGTTGAGTCTCATCAGCTCTTTGCAGATTTTTGTGATCAGTCCTTTATCATTAGTGTTGTGTGCAAAAATGTTCTCCAAGTCGGTGGGGTTTCTCTTTGTTTTTGTTATCGTCTCTTTTGCTGTGCAGAAGCTCTTTAATTTGATGTAGTCCCAGCTGTTGATCTTTGCCTTCACTATCACTGCTTTGAGTGATGTGTCTGTAAAGATGTCTTTGATGTGCATATCACGTAGTGTTTCGCCTATATTTCCTTCTATGTATTTTATGGTTTCTGGTTTTATGTCTAGTTCTTTAATCCATTTTGAGTTGATTTTTGTGTATGGTGTGAGGTAGTGGTCAAGTTTCATACTTTTGCATGTAGCGACCCAATTTTCCCAGCACCATTTATTGAACAAACTTTCTTTGCTCCAATGTATAGTCTTTGCTCCTTTGTCAAAGATTAGTTGACCATAAATCTGTGGGTTTATTTCTGGATTTTCTATTCGATTCCATTGGTCTGTGTGTCTGTTCTTGTTCCAATACCATGCAGTTTTGATGATTATGGCTTTGTAGTATAGTTTGAAGTCTGGGAGTGTGATGCCTCCATTTCCTTCTTTTTTTTTCAGGAGAGCTTTGGCTATTTGGGGTTTTTGGTGATTCCATATGAATTTCATCAATAATTGTTCTATTTCTTTGAAGAATGACATTGAAATTTTTATTGGAATAACATTGAATCTGTAGATTGCTTTTGGTAGGATGGCCATTTTAATAATGTTTATTCTTCCAATCCATGAGCA